AGAGAATGTGGTTTCCTTTTCTCTGAAGGTTTCAAAAGTCAAATGAGATTTTAATTTTAAAAAATAATAAAAATAAACACCACATGAATAATATTGAATAATATATAACTAAGGTTTATTTTAATGGGATTAAATTATCTCATTTTTACTTCAAAAATAATTAATTAAATAAACATATTTGATTAATTAGTTGATAAACAATAACTTGTTAAGACGATGATCAATAGGTAGTCTAAAAAGATGGTTGGTTACACGGAGACCAAACACAAACAAAGATAAAGAGACACCCGTATAAAAAAAATGAATGAATTATAAGTTATATCTACTTATCCTGTAATTTCGACGGTAGAGATACGACACGATAGCAGTCAAAATAATTATAATAAATACATTTTCGTGGAACTATACAGATGAAACGAAAAACGTTTCTTACGATTAGGCCCAATAGCCCACTCGAGCAAGATTTGCTGTAGTAAATTTGGCAATGTTCTTGGCATCTTGACAAATAGAATCAAGTAATGAAAACAGTTGTTTAGAAGAATCCAGCAAACTATCAGAAGAGCTCTTCAAAATTTCAAAGAAAGGCAAACTTCTCTTCCATTTAAAAAATGTTTGGTGAAAGTAAAAGCTAGTGGCTTTGTCATCACTTCCAAAAATGTAGAAATTGAAGAACTCTTCATTCACTATAATCATACCCTTCATCGTCATCCAGCTCCACTTCAGCATCATCACCCCTGCCCATCAGGGTCAGAAACAGTAGAACTGCCACCACCTGTGCGCCTACAAAATACTTGCCTCTCCTTTTGAATGTTTTCTCCTCTTTCGTCTTTTCTTTCTTCTGCTTGCTCTTCGGCTTTGAGCCTGATGAATGATGCAACAAATATATTGAGAAAATAATAGATTTCCAATCTTATCTTAGTGCATTTGAAAGTAAAGTCACATTGTAATTTCACTTTGTTAGGCATTCAATGCCTAGAAACTTGGAATAGAAATGATCTTCCAATTATCCAAAGAAAAACTAAAAGGATTTTCAAGACCACAGAAATCAACGACTGGATGGATTTCATATGTTGAAAAAAAAGAAGAGCACCCAAAATCACAGCTCATCATCCTAAGAAGAGTATGGTGCCCATTCAATAGGACTGAATTTAGACTAGTGAACGGATACAATGTGCTCGGTGATATATCGTCGTAGACGAGTGGAAAAAAAGGATTCACAAAATATATGGAACTATCTTCATTCCACAGTACAATTCTCGCCACAAAGGAAGAAAGAGAAGGGATAGAAACATCAGGAACAACAGAGATGATGAACATAAGTATAATACCAAATATTTACAATAATGGATGAACAAAAGAAGATCATAGAGTACCTCTAGCAAACAAATTAAGGAATTAGGACTATTTGAAATGCATTAGCAACATAACATCATGGCCCTCGTTCAATAAACTAATTTCATCAAGTGTAAAAAAGAAAACATTTGATAGCAAGTATAAAATATCTTACTCCAGTTATAAGGACCCCTTCTTGGTGCTGATGATGAAGCCCCTGAACTGGAACGCGCAGAAGAAGATGATGGTAACGATGAAGTACCAACATCTATCAACTCTGTCATATATTTCTCAGCATATCGTACGAGGTTACTATGCTCTAAAAGCTTACTGCGAAGCACTGACGTTTCCTACAAAGTAGAGAATACCAACAAGGCCCAGAGTAAGAACTTCATTTAAGTTGAGAAGAAAGAAAGAAATAAAGAAAGCAATGTTTGGAATAATGTACTGTCTATCATACAAAGATCAAGGTCCGTTAAGCAGGATATTTTAATAAAATGTGGGTGGAAATTAATGCAGTAAGATATCGATTTATTGTTATATTTTTCAATGGATAAAACGGTTAATTGGGGAAAGACAAGATTCAAAAGTAGGAAAGAAAAATTCCGGCACCTTAACTATAAGAAATCACTTCATGATTTATAAGCATATTATATATTGTATAACTTCGTAAGATGATCATTGAAAAACATGTTATTACTTCTTAAAAGTAATAACAATAACTGTATCTCAAGATATGCTAAGGATCCATCGATATAAAGATGTTATCGGAAATCAAGATCAAGATACGGAAGTCGATTAGATGGAAAAAAACATATGAAAAACTGCAAATAATTGTTCTTATGACCTACATTTCTCTTAAGATAAGAGAGCTACTATTACTGAACAATTAACATTTCAAAAGAATAAGAAACATTCACCTACAACAACTGAAGAATGATCTGAAAATAACTCACCGGTAGTACTTGAAGAGTGAATAGTAGATGCCCTAGAACAAGTGCATCCAAACTTGAAGGCCTACAATATAACAAGGTGATGCATTATCAAATTATTAGGATGGTTAAAGAAGTATATAATATACAACAAGAGATTCACCTGTTCTCAAATAAAAAATTCTGCTCTCCTAATCTAGTTGACAAAGCTCCATAAGCAAGATTTGCATTTCTATAAATCTGTCAGCCAAGAAATGAACTCAATTCGCAATATCAAGAAACAGGGGACAAATTTGAAAGAGTCCTTCATCGATCACTATCTACCAATTGAGTTAATGTCCAAGTAGTAAGAAAAAGAAGATTTATAACCTGTTCTTCTCTTCGCTCAGCATTTTCTTTGTCAATCCCAAGTTGGAGCTTCACAAAGTGTACTTTCTTAAAATACAGAACCTTTCCAATCGGCCAGGGAAGATCAGAATAATAGACCCTTTGAGCAGAACCACCATCAGTTCCCAACCAAAGCTCATACATGACTGCATCTGCAAGCCATGAACTAACCATAGATTTTGCAGATACCCATTCCGGAACCGAGAGAAACTCGGTGTCGAGATCAAGAATACCATCCTGTCTTAAACACTCAATGACCCCACCCCTCTCGTTATTGTACGCTACATAGGTACCAGTTTCAACATAAGGAATTATATCTGCCAGAGAAAAACAGATGCCATACTTGTTAATTCACTGGAAATGGAAAAGGAATCTAAATCCTTTACCAGTCTATACACCACCAGCCATGAAATCAGTAGTGAAAATAACTACACATATGAAACAACAAAAAAGAAGGAAGGAATTAGAGCATAGACATGGGAGATTACCAGACTCGGGGTAGATGAGATTGAAATCCAAGTGGAAATGGAGATTGGCCAATTTTAGATAGATATAAACCGGCAAGCAATCTGGGCATCCAGTGGGCAAATTGAAACACGGTTTCCTCACAATCAAAGTCAACCCTTCTTCTCCCCTTCCACTCATTTGCTCCATAAACGGAGAATCTCTGCAACCACTGTAAATTAGTTTCAGGTCGAAGGGTTTTAGGAAGGGCCAATTTAGAAGAAGGGGCTTTTATGTTCTTCCAACCAAAACGATACTTTCTCTAATATTCCTTTTATTATTATTATGATTATTATTTATTTTAACAACTTGTTTTTATTTGTTTATTTATTATTATTTACGATAATTATTATTTTGATTTCTAAATTATACAAAGTATCTCTAAAATTCAACGTTCAATTATATTTACAAATTTTTAAATCTTCTTCTTAATTTTACATCACTTATTAATTCAATTTTAAGTATTTATGAAATTAAATATATTTCATTTCAACTAAAAACATATCAATTTTAGCTCATAATTTATAATATCTATTTATAGGAATGATATTGTAATATTATTATGTGTTTAATAGACTATGAAGCATTCATTATATTTGAATCATATCATTAACATCGTTGGTAACAATATGTATGAAATTTGTAACAGTTCAAGTTCACCGTTTACAAATATTGCCCTATGAGATCCCACATCAGTTGGTAAGGAGAACGAAACATTATTTATAAGGGTGTGAAACATCTCTCTAATAGACGCATTTTAAAAACTTTGGAAGGAATTTTGGAAGAGAAACTCAAAATAATACAATATCTGATAGCGATGGGCGATGGGCTTAAACTATTATAAATTGCATCAATGCCAGATACTGGGCAGTAAGTGAGGACGCTGGACCCCTAAGGGGGGTGGGTTGTGAGATTCCACATTTAATGGGCAACGAGGACCAACGAAACATTGCTTATACCTTTCCCTAGAAATCACGTTTTAAAAACCATATGTAATAGGCTAAAATGAACAATATGAGCGGTTACAAAATTAGTTGATTCTTATCTTATAAACGTGACAGTACATCCCTCATCACTGGAAATGTTACTATCGTCACAATTCTTGAAGTATCAAAGTACAATGGACATAGGCATCAATATTCAAATTTGAACTTCAATCCACATACTATTTTGGTTGTTCATAAGATGTACCCCAAATAGTTTAGAGATTATTATCATAAATAGTTGAATGGTTTGATGTAAATATTAGAAGTATAAAGACTATTATTATATTATATGATTGAAGAATCAACCGGGAATAATCCAACCATATTTGAACAGAATCTTCCACAGTTTCTGAAAAAAGGTCGTTACTTTTGGGGTGGAACTGTACTGTGAAGCGTTAACATAATACGAGCAAATGGAATTAGCATAAGACCCAATTAGACCAATGGATTTCAGAACTGATTCAACAATGGCAAAAAATAAAACCCCCAAACAGCGATGCAAAAAGAGGAGAGAGAGTTGCTTCCTATTGCGAAGCCCCACCGTTGGCTTTTTGGCTGTGTGCTTGAATAATGGACGGTGATCGACCTTTCTCTCTCCGTCTTAGCAGCCAATCCTCACACCGCGGAAGTCAGCCAACCCATTTGCCGTTTGCCATTTGCGATCCCCTCACCAACCGATTTCATACCTTTTCATTCTTTATTGCTTTCTTTTCTCCTCCATTTCAAATGCAGAGCTAATGCATTATTCTGTGAAGAAACAAGGGATTTCATTGTAATGAGTAAACCCCACCATTCTTAATTACGATTTACTGGTACCCATCTCCATGTTCTCTTGTTTGTGTTTTTTTTTTTTTGCTTTTTCGCTATTATATTGTTTATTTCATCTAATTTTACCCTTTACTGTTGTAAATTTGAGATGTGATTAATTGCGTCCATACTCTAAGGAATCTCCTGCTTTTCTCTCATTGATTAGAGAACAGAGTTTCATTCAAAATTCATCTGGGTGATGTGGGTTTAGCGGTGAAAAGGTTAATCCCTGTTATTTTACCTCTTGGGGTGGCTTTTTTTTTGTTGTAGTTAGTGATATGCACGCCTGTCCTTAATCATTCCCTCCATATTCTCTCTCTGAATTTGTTATTCATATCATTTCTTCTTCTTGTTCTTCTTCTTCCTCATTTCTCTCTTTGTCCTTGCCTTCTTCCCCTGTACTGGGTTGTGAAGATTGTCCAAATTCCATTAGCTTCTACAAGCTGGGATTGGATCTGGGTGTGTGTCCTTTTTCCTGTTATTCATCTCCTTGACGTTTATTCAACCAGGTACTTCAATATTTTGGCATTTTCATTTTTCTTTGGAGTTTCCTAATCAAATCCAATAAGTTATTCCCTTTTCAATTCCTTTGTTCCTTGTACATTGCCTTCGTGGGATATGCTTGTCACATGTAGTAGAAGTATGTAGTCTTTTCTTTGTTGAGCCTGAATATTTTGTTAATAAAATGTTTGATCTCCGTTATGGTATATATCAAATTGAGGAATGTAAGTATCCAGTTGATCGGATATTCACATTCCACAGCGCGTTCAGCTTCCATGGGTTAGAATTTTGAAATTCGAATGCCGGGAAGATCATATCATGTACTGTTGAAAATTTTATATATTTTTCTGGGTACACTAAATTTTTTTTTTAATTTCCGAGTGTTTGATTCATACCTCTTATGCTTGGGAACGTACATGCTTACATTCACAAGTAGGAAAAGATGGTAAGTTTTGCCTATGCTGCAACCATTTACCTCATTAGGATCAATAGAATACAAGAATGTGCAGAAGAAGGGTGAATTCTTGGAGTGAGCTAGGTGAGTGGTTTAGGATTTTGTAGATGCTAGCTTGCCCTGCATCAAAGGAATATATCTCTGTGAAGGCATAATAGAGTGATAAGCTTTAGTTGGATTTTTATTTGTGCAATCTAGGAGTGGAAGAAATTGGGGTAGCTCGATTCTTTGAAATGGCTGCAATTTGGAAAGAAACTGGTGGTGGAAGTGGAGATGGAGAATATATTGGGATTGGGCAAGAGAACGAAGGAAATCGATTAGGGATGCACCTGTAACAGCTCAAGCCCACCACTAGCAGAATATATCGAGATAGGGCAGTGTGCCAGCGAGGATGCTGGGCTCCGAAGGGAGGTGATTGTAAGATCCCACGTCGGTTGGAGAGGGGAACAAAAACATTCTTTATAAGAGTGTGGAAACCTATCCCTAGTAGACGCCTTTTAAAAACCTTGAGGGGAAGTTCGAAAGGGAAGGCTCAAAGAGGACAATATCAGCTAGCGGTGGTCTTGGGCCATTACAAACGGTATCAGAGAGCTGGCACATCGCTCCGAAGGGGGTGGACACGAGGCGGTGTGCCAACAAGGACGCTAGGCCCCGAAGGGGTTGTGGATTGTGAGATCCCACATCGGTTGGAGAGGAGAATGAAACATTCTTTATAAGGGTGTGGAAACCTCTCCCTAACAGACACATTTTAAAAATCTTAAGAGAGCTCAAAAAAGACAATATCTACTAGCGGTGGTCTTGGGCTATTACAACTAATGTCACTTGTGATAAGTTCTTCTTCATTATCTTTTTTAATATGTATTTTTTTGGTTGTAAAAGGGAACTTCAACTTGTGATAAAATTACTTTTGATTTTTAGCTTGTCTCAATTCAATGATCTGTCACATTTGAGACCGACATTATGTGCCCGAAAGTCGCAGGTAACAATAGAGGTGTGGATATAACATGGCGGTCTCTATGAGAAATTTAGACCAAGCGTTTCAGGGTGCTGGCCAGAAAGCGTATCCTTATGTAATGTGACTTAAAGCATGCTTATTATTAGTACTTTTAAGGTTTATGTTTTCTAGTTTCTAGTAAATTTAGCTTATGAGGTAAATACTTTTCCTTAGGCACCAAGTTTACACAGTTAAATAAATTAACAAAAATTTCTCAGCAACAGTGGATAAAATTCATATCTTCAATCATTTTATAATCTGATTTATTACAATTGCTTCATCTCCTGCATCTGCAAAGTTTCTATGTTATTTTCCTTGACAATACACAGTGGGGTTGAAGTATGGCGCATTGAGAATTCCCGCCCTGTTCTTGTACCAAAATCATCTCACGGAAAATTTTTCATGGGAGATTCCTATATAGTCCTCGAGGCAAGTGGCTTTTGTTTAGTTTCTTACTATGCTTTGTTCTTTATGAAAATATCAAAATGTTAACTTCTCATATCTTCTTTTGGTCTTTAGTTCTTAAATTAGTTGTCATGCGATCCGTCTCATTGCATCTAGTTCAATAAAGATTAGATGCTAGAAGGATAGAAAAAGACTAGAGGTGCTTCTTTAGAAACCATAGCAAGAGATGGGACTTTGTAAGGACGTGGAAACCTCTTCCTAACATATGCGTTTTAAAAACCTTGAGGGGAAGTCCAAAGAGGACAATATCTGCTAGCGGTGGGCTTGGATTGTTACAGTTGGTATCAAAGTCAGACACTGGGCAATGTGCCAGCGTGGAGGCTGAGCCCCGAAAGGGGGTGAACACGAGGCAGTGTACCAGTAAGGACGCTGGGCCACAAAGGGGAGTGGATTGGAGGGTCCCACATCGATTGGAGAAGGGAACGAGTGCCAGCGAGAACGTTGGGCCCAAAGGGAGGTGGGTTATGAGATCCCACATCGGTTGGAGAGAGAAACGAAACATTTTTTATAAAGGTGTGGAAACCTCTCCCTAGCAGACACATTTTAAAAATCTTGAGGGGAAGCCCAAAGAGTACAACAGCTTTTAGCGTACCTAGATTTGAGGACTTAAAACCTTTACAGTTATCCATCCTCATTCCGTTTCTTCTTTAAAATAATCCCTCTGTGCTATATCTTATAAGGAATTGCAATCATTTTGATGAAGTAACTGTAACCTGCTATTACAGCAGCATCCAAACATTAAAGGAAGAGGTAAAAAAGAACCCTTTTGTTCTTGGTACCCCCAGTGATTCCTGTATTTTGTTTATTCATTGCAGACCACATCCTTAAAAAATGGTGCTTTCCGGCATGATATTCATTATTGGCTTGGTAAGGATACCACTCAGGTAAGCTCAAATCAATCAGTTATTCTCTGGTGGTTATTTCTTGGTTTTCCAATAACTCTCAAGACCTGTCAATTTAGGATGAAGCTGGTACTGCAGCCATCAAAACCATTGAATTGGATGCAGCCCTTGGAGGACGTGCTGTCCAGTACCGTGAAGTGCAAGGTTACGAGACAGAGAAGTTTTTATCATATTTCAAACCGTGCATTATACCACAAGAAGGCGGAGTTTCCTCTGGCTTCAAACATGCCAAGGCTGAAGAACACCGCACTCGGTTGTATGTTTGCAAAGGAAAACGAGTTGTTCATGTTAAAGAGGCAAGCCTAATCTCATATACTCAAGCTGATAAGGAATTAGCCTTCTCCATTTGCTAAGTTCTTCATTCTGTTGGCAGGTTCCTTTTGCTCGATCCTCACTTAACCATGATAGTATTTTCATTCTTGATACCAAGTCTAAAATATTCCAATTCAATGGATCCAACTCATCCATTCAAGAGAGAGCCAAAGCATTGGAAGTAGTTCAATTCATTAAAGATACATATCATGACGGAAAATGCGAGATAGCCGCCGTTGGTAAGTAACACAAAAACTTAGTAGTCCTGCGCTTTGTTTCTTTTGATTTTTTACTTATTTGATTAATTTTTTTCATTACAAGTTTGATTTACTATGTTTGAAAGCTCATAGTTTCTACATTGTCATACAGAGGATGGCAGAATGATGGCAGATGCTGAAACAGGGGAATTTTGGAGTTTATTTGGTGGTTTTGCTCCACTTCCAAGAAAAGTAATCAGTGGAGGTGATAAAATGGTCGGTTCACATCCAACAAAACTACTATGGTAATATATTTCCTTTTTTTAAAATTACTTTTACATTTCATCCTTTAAAGTATGAACAAATTTTGGTATAATTCTTGGTTGTTTTAATGTTTTACTGAACTAGTTAATGATGTAGTTCTGAAAGTAGTATGTATGTGTTTGAAGTGTTAAGAAGGGCGACCCCGAACCTGTTGAGGCTGATTCTTTAACTAGGGCGCTGTTAGCTTCAAATAAATGTTACATTCTTGATAGCGGGACAGAAGTTTTTATATGGATGGGAAGAAATACCTCTCTTGAAGAAAGGAAAAATTCCAGCAGAGCTGCAGAAGTAATTCCCTACACCGTTCTAGTTGATTTCTTAAAGTTTATTTGAAGACTTGTGATTTTTATATCTCTCCTTGTTGTGGATAGGAGCTAGTTAGCGGTCCTGATCGTCCACAATCGCACATAATGCGGGTGACTGAAGGCTTCGAACCTATTGTGTTCCAAGCCAAGTTTGATTCGTGGCCTCAAGCAGCTGCTATAGCTGTGTCAGAGGATGGTAGAGGCAAGGTTGCTGGTTAGTATGAAGTTCTTTGATTCATGGTTTTTTTTTTTTTTTTTTTTTTTTTTTTTTTTTTTTTTTTTTTTTTTTTTTTTTTTTTTTTTTTTTTTTTTTTTCATTAAATCTTTTGGTTTTCATTGTAATGTTGACATTTCTTCAGCTATTGTTTGATGAACTCTTTCCCCCCCTCTCTCTTTTTTTGGTTATTTTTTAGCACTTTTGAAACGCCAAGGATTTAATGTGAAGGGTCTTTTGAAAGCTGAACCTATAAGAGAAGAACCTCGGCCTTACATTGATTGTACAGGAAATCTACAGGTAATTCGAAAAATATTTCTCTTCTTCTCTTCTCCGTAAGGTTCTATGAACCATTCTGCAAATGATGATACAATAAATAATGATATGGCAAAAGAAGGAACAGATAATTTGAGATCCCACGTTGGTTGGAGAGGGGAATAAAGCATTCCTTATAAGGGTGTGGAAACCTCTCCCTAGCAGACGCGTTTTAAAATCATGAGGTTGACGGTGATACGTAACAGGCCAAAGCGGACAATATCTACTAGCGGTGAGCTTGAGCTGTTACAGATAACATGGGACGTACGAAATAAATGAATATTTGCTTCGCAATCAGTTTGAATGTAGGACGATGAACTTGACGACGGGTGTCTTGGAAGTCATTGGAAGCTAACCAGAAATTTATTGATTGATAGACACATGATCCAAAAAGTTGGTATAAAAGATTTACCCTATGATGAAAACTCCGTTGTTTTACAGGTGTGGCGTGTCAGTGGCCAGGAAAAGCTTCTACTTCATGTCTCTGATCAATCAAAATTTTACAGTGGTGATTGCTATATTTTCCAATATTCTTACTCGGGAGAAGACAAGGAAGAATATCTGGTTGGAACATGGTTTGGTAAACAAAGTGTTGAGGTACTTAAACTTTTCATTCACAATTCCTTACAGCCACCACCTCAACACCCTTGTGTGGATAAATACAAATGGATCATATCATGTTTGAAGCATAGAAAATATTTGAATAATGATAATTGGAAAGCCTCAACACCCTTGTGGGTTTGATTCTATTTACTTATTATCTGTTCTTCGAGGAATATCTTATGAGTGCATTACTCTTGAAATAGGGAGAAAGAGCTTCTGCTTTATCGCTGGCCAGCCAGATGGTGGAAGCACTGAAGTTCTTGCCTGTCCAGGTTGCTTCCACTGTTTAAATTGTCCGCTTAATGAAGAGTAAATACAATGGCGTCTCTAATTGTGGATAATGATATCATCTTCGTTTCATGCTAGGCTTGTATTTATGAAGGATATGAACCAGTCCAGTTCTATTCAATTTTTCAGAGGTTTATTGTTTTTAAGGTATGCTTGGGTAACTTAATGGAAATACATACAATTGTATTACATGAAGTTGACTAACAAAAAATTTTCAGGGTGGGTTGAGTGATGGATACAAGAATTACATTGCAGAAAATGGCATTTCAGACGTGACAAATTCGAGAAACAGTATTGCATTGTTTCGAGTCCAGGGCTCTGGCCCTGAGAATATGCAAGCAATTCAAGTTGAAGCAGTACGTTGCTCTCATCCCATGGTCTTTTGCTGTGCATAATACTTCATGCTAATATACAAATCATTGTTTGTTCTTGTTCTGTTCCCACAGGTTGGATCCTCTTTGAATTCCTCTTATTGTTACATTCTGTATAGAGGGTCTACTGTTTTTACTTGGTTTGGAAGCCTTACCACCACTGATCACCCGGAGCTTGTTGAAAGATTTCTGGATATGATCAAGGTGATTAGTTAGTTATATATGGCCATTATGAATCAAGCTGCCACTAGCAAAATAGCTTCTCATATGATTTCCAATTTTCTGCAGCCAAACTGTCAATCCAAGTCGTACAAGGAAGGCGCAGAGTCTGAACTATTTTGGGGTTTGTTGGGAGGAAAAACGGAATACCCAAGTCAGAAAATTGCAATGGTTGTTGAGAGCGATCCACACTTGTTTTCTTGCACTTATTCAAAAGGTGTATACAATTGTATTTCGATCTTTCATCGTTATCGTTCTATTTTTCCGCGTTTATAAGTCTTTAACTTTGTTCGTCGCATCGATTTCGCTCCGGAAATGGCGGCATTATGCAGAAATTTTGAAGGTATTCTCTTCTTATTCTATCTTGGAACTTAAAACTGGAGTTCTTAGAAGTAGTGCACCAAAGTTCCTGTGTTCAGTTTGGTGTTCAAGGGTCAATGCCTTGGTTTCTTCTTAAAATTTGATGTCATTGCAGGTTGATGAGATATACAACTTTGGGCAAGATGATTTGATGGCAGAAGATATTGACATTCTTAGTTGTCACTCTCAGATCTTTGTTTGGGTTGGGCAACAAGTTGACCCCAAGACTAAACTGCATGCTTTAAGAATTGGGGAGGTACGTTTAATTGCTCTAACTTGTTTCTTCCACCAATCATCAAGAGGTAGTTTTGTGGGCATATAATGAATGCTTATTTTGGTTCTTCGAGTTCTGAACAGAAATTTCTTGAGATTGATTTTTTTCATGAAAAATTATCACGCGAAACTCCGATATATATCGTCATGGAAGGAAGTGAACCGCCTTTCTTCACACGTTTCTTCTCATGGGATTCTGCAAAATCTGACGTGAGAATTATATGCTTATTAACTACAATTATGTGACAATAATCTGATTGCTTATTTTATCTGAATCTTTTAAATATTTGAATACAGATGCACGGAGATTCGTTTCAGAGAAAGCTTGCATTAGTTAAAAATGACGGTGCTGCTGCTATAAATGCAAGTCATTTTCTGGTTCTTCAATCCTTTTTATTTAGTTTCTTTTCAGAATTATCTATTGCTTTGAAACATATCTACATTATCTGTGTAGTTAGCATTCTTTTTTGATGGCTTCATGATCTTTAATTAGAAACCGAAGCGGAGAGCTCCTGTAATGTATGGAGGGAGGTCGAGTAGTGTGCCAGAGAAAGCACAGCGCTCGAGGAGTGTGTCGTTTAGTCCTGATCGAGTTCGTGTGAGAGGAAGGTCACCTGCTTTCAATGCATTAGCTGCAAACTTTGAGAACCCAAGTGCTAGAAATCTTTCTACTCCTCCTCCAATGGTTAGAAGGCTGTACCCCAAATCTGTTACTACTGAGTCATCAAGGCTGGCTTCTAAAAATGCAGCCATAGCAGCACTTAGTGCAAGTTTCGAACAGCCACCGCCCGCTCGAGAAGCTATTATACCTCGCTCTTTCAAGGGTACGAGTTCATCTAAGTTTCGCCACAGTTCGGTTGCAACCATCACAAATTTCCAACTTAACAGAATTGCTTTTCTTTTGTATTTGGTAAGGGACGCTAGGTGTCTCCAAGCCTATCCCAGAGTTGGACAAGAAGGAGACCTCCATGAGCAACAGAATAGAATCTCTTACTATAGTGGAAGATGCAAAGGAGGGCGAAGTTGAAGACGAGGAAGGTCTCACAATACATCCATACGAATCCCTTACAACAACATCGAGTTCTCCAGCTTCAGACATCGACGTGACGAAGCGAGAGGTAAGCATAACCATTCACAGCAATATTTTTTATCAACGTTGAGTTCTTACGTGTCGAATTTGAAACGAGCAGACATACCTATCAATGACGGAGTTCAAGGAGAAATTTGGAATGACAAAGGATGCTTTCTATAAGCTACCTAAATGGAAGCAGAACAAACTTAAAATGGCCTTGCATCTGTTCTAGAACTCCTTGCTAACAATGCCCTTTGATTGCTCGTCGTCGAGTTGTGGATGCTGGTAGGTAGCGGTGTTCTTTACGACAGTATCGATTCGTTTTTTTGGCGTTCTATAAGTCGTTAGTGATTGATTGCAGTAATTTTGTTGGTTGGCAGATTTGGAACTCAAAAGTTGTTGATGGAGAGCGTCAGTGCATTTTAAGCTGTTTCTGCTGTCCCATACATACACTCAGACCTGTTCTTGATTGGTTTGAATGTGTCTTAGCTTTCACTAGCAGATGAAATAGTTGTGTGATATATTCTGTGAGAATTGGTTTGATGAGAGCAATTTTGGGTTTTTTTTATCAATTTTTTGTGTTTTAATTATTCAAAAAAAAAAAAAAAAAAAAAAAAAAAAAAAAAAAAAAAAAAAAAAAAAAAAAAAAAAAAAAAAAGAGGAAGAGGGAGGGATATATATAGCAGTCTACTTATAGTTGTGTTGATTGATGATTGAGGATGGAATTGTACAGCATTGTAAAAACCACTCCTCTCATTTTTTTTTTTCCTTTTGTTCATTTCTAAATAAAAGGTGTGATTTATTTATATATAAACATCCCTTGTCAGCGTTCTCGCCGCCACACTACCTGATGTCTAGCTCTATGTCATTTGTAATAGCTCAAGCCTACCGCATATTTAGATGAGTACCGATTCCGTTGCATAACCTTAATAGACGCGTTTTAAAATCATGAGACTAACTTAGGTAAGTAAATTTTTTTTTTTTTTTTGAAAGTTTAATAAAACAAAATTAGAAAATAAAATGATGATGGGGTTAATTATAAATGAATTAAAATGAATAAAAAATAGTTAAGAGTTAGAAAAGCAAAAGTTTAGATTTTAGATGGGGGCAAAGACAAAGACATCCCACAAGACAAAATGGGTTACGTACGGAGGAGCACGCACGTTGAGTAGTGATCGCATTAACTTTAAGCACCATCATCATATCATCTCTGTCTCTCTATAGCTCTATCTGGTCAACAAAGCAAGCAACTAGCCATTTCCCCATAACCCACTTTTTCATCCCTTCACCACCTTCCCTTTGCATTGATATCTCCCTAGATCTAAACGAAACTTTTTTTTATAAAAGTGTGGAAGCCACGTATTTTAAAGTTTAAATAGAACAATATGCACTAGTAGTTGGCTTAAACTGTTCATGGGTATCAAATTTGGTTTGTTTCTTGGATTGTCTAAGCAAGTGGAGAGGAAAGAAATGGAGTAAGAGTATACAAAAACAAGAGTTGTATATGCAGCCACAAATGGGCATCTCAGACATCCCTTTTATTAGAATCTCAATTGGATAAAATTTTGTTAATAATGTGAACCTGTTCTTGTTATCAGCTTCTTCTACTTGAGCTTTAAACTTTGGAACAGCCAATGTGGCCGTTTTGTTTCCTGATCACATGTTCCACTTGAGCTGCTCATGGGTGTGCTTGGGTCACTGCATTCTTCACCTCTTTCTGATTTTGATCTCTTCTTCCTGACACTACCACCAATGCTTAGAGTTAGCTCAACATCACTGTCTTCCTCTTCACAACCATCACCTGTGTTCATCTTGCTCGGCCCGGCTCGGTCTTCATCAACAGCGCTAACTCCCGTCGACATGTCCTCCTCTGCAGGCCTTTCAAGATCAAACCCTCTTGACATTATTCTCATGTTGTCTCCAGAACAGCTCCCACTGCTCGGATCATCTGATCTGAAGCTTTGAAGCTTCAAAATCAGTCCCCCTCCACTGCTCTGTTCTGTTTGATTTTCCCTGTTTTTGAACTGCAAATGGTTCATTGATTTTCTCCTCACCTCTTCCATCAGCATCTTCTGAACACTATACAGCCGATGGAGTTCCTTCACCTGCAAGCCATATATTCAAATTCAACCAGTTTTGCTTCAACAAACGCCTATAAACTCTATCTTACCTGATTCTTGAACACATCTTCATGCCCCTGCATTGTCTTTCTTATGGCATCCACATCTCCTTTTTGCAGCATCTTGTCAAGTGATCCAGTCATGGCAGAAGTATAGAATTTGTGGGGAAGCCTTGTTGTTGAGCCCTGAAAATGGTGCCAGTCATGCACTCTTCGAACTATGAAGGTGTTGGTAGTGTGGGCAGAGTTGGGTAAAGGCTTGAAAGTGGGTTCAAGTCTTGTTCCCATGCCTGAAACCAAATGGGTATCAAAAATAATGTAGGACTACAAAGACAAAACATTCTTGAAACCCACAAAGAAAATTTAGGCAAAAGTTATGTTTGACAATTAAGTGGGGTGGGTGTGAATTTTGTACAGCCACTGAGATGTGGATGGAGACAGAGTCTACTTCACCAATTTCTACTGTCTAAGGCAAAATTAAGGCATGCATCAAGGAAGTAATGAGTTCAAATTCCAAAATTCAATCTTTTGGTGATGGAGAGAGAGAGATCTAGTAGGTGGTTCTTCCTAGACCTTTAAATTGTGCTCTATCAGATGAATTTCTCAGAAGGGTTAAGACAGAGAAAACAGAGGATTTGTGGTTAAAATCACTGATAATTGAGGAATCCCAGAAAATTTAGGAGCATTTTGATTCGTTTTTTTTCTGGGATTTAAACAAACCCATCGAATCTGCAGCAAAAGTAGAGATTTAGATATGAAAAAGTGAAGAGATTTGAAGTGGGATTGACCTGATAGAGAAAGAGCAGCCAGGAGGAGGATGATCATTGAACATGTTCTTCTTCTGTGCTCTTCATGCCAAAGCCAAAGCTTTGTTTCCAGTTTCCAGTTTCCAATTCCCTGATGAATATGAACAAAGCCTCCAATCAAATCACCAAAAATATCCCTTCCCTTTGGTTTGCTTTGGAAGAAACAGTAAAGCAAACAGCCTCTGACTATAAAATTAGAATCCCTGGTGCTAATAATTCAGGTTTGACAGGCTGTGGAGGAGGCAGAGGCAATAAGAAAGCTGGTTTGGAATGTGTTCTAAATATTTGGTGACATAAAAGAGAGAGAGAAAGAAAGAGTTGTAAAGTATGGTATAAAGATTGTATTGGGTATCAGTCTGTACTATTGTATGAGGATGGTTACACGGCTCCCAAATATTGTTTGTTTTGGCCTGTTACATATCTAGGGAGAGATGTGGGCTCCCCTCTTCAACCGATGTGGGATCTCACAATCTACCTCCCTTCAGGGCCTAGTGTCCTCAGCTGACACACCGCCTGATTCCATTTGTAATAGCTCAAATCTACAACTAACAGATATTGTTCGCTTTGGCCTGTTACGTATCTAGGGAGATGTTTCCACACTCTTATAAAGAATGTTTTGTTTCCCTCCTCAATCAGCGGAGAGCGGAGGAGGGAGGTGGGGGCCAGGAAAGTATTGATAATAAAAACAAATGACAGTCCTAAACATGAGCCAGTTTGTATGCATGCCTGTGAACAAGATATTCCAGACAGCTCTTGGAAGCTTTCAAGATATGCATCAATGGTGGAAACTTTATGCTTTCTCTCTCTTCCTCCTTCCTTCCATTAAATTATTCACAAACATCAACTTTCATGATTTGGATTGAATCACTCACTGTACACAACAAAACACTTTGGCCTCACATTCCATCATTTTGATTCAATCTTTGCTGCTTCTTCTTGTTCTTCATCTTTTACAAGGCTTTCAAAAGCTTTGAATTTTTTGTTCTTGTTTTTATGGGGTTGAGAGTTATGATTACAGTAAAAAGAAAAGGAAAAGGAAAAGAAAATGTAACCAGAAATGGATGACAAAACTAAGCAACTCATAGCTATAGATTTGGGATTGAAAAAGGGGAAACTTCCTCCCACATCGCTTTCCTTCAAAAGCTTCATATAATATATATATCCCTAACCCCAACAATTCCTCATTCCAAATCACACCCACATGCCTCACTTCCTCTCCATTTTTTTTTATATGTTGCCGTGCTCATCCTTTATCTCTTTTATTTAATCCTTCTCTTTCGGTTTCGGTCGAGTGAACTAGAGATACCACCGAGTCGAACTCAGACCGAAAATCCTTCCATATCTTCGTTCCTATCTTCTATTTCAATTATAAACAAAAATAAAAATATAATCTGAAAATTTTAAATTTCAATATTAGGCATATATTAATGAGTGGAATAAATTCATGGGAGTGTGACAACCTAGTATAAAATTTATTCATTCATAGAATATGACAAATATATGAAGGGTTGAAAATATTGTTAGATTATTTTATATTATATTCTTTTGGGGGTTGGAAACTCAATAGAGAAGTAATCTTATTGGGTATTTTTTATTTTTATTTTTATTTTTCTTGGAAGAGGGCCCACTCAGAATATTTATAGAAATTAAGCTTTGATGGTATAATAAAAAGTAATTAATTTTATATATATATATATATAGTAATTTGCTTAGAAAGGTGTGATGAGGTATTGAGAATTTTTAATGAAAAATTAACACACAAATTTATTCTTAAATACAAATTGGATAGTCCCTTTCAACCCGTGTTACTAATATGAATTCGTCCTATTATCTTATTATTATTAGAATTAAAATATATATTTTTTCTTTTTTTTGTCGTACTGAATCCATAATCATATTGGTCAACTGAAGATTCGAACTTTTAATTTCTTTGTCTATTAGAGAGGTAATTTAACTCTCTCGACAATTGGAGAGTGATAATTAATAAATATATGTATATATATATATATATATACATGCATTGATTATTCTTTATTATTTAAAAAAAAAACATGTATTAATAATATTAATAATATTATAATTAACTGAGGTCTTATCTCAAATCATAATTTTTTAATGTCTTTGTGACATGCATGGTTGTCCATGTGGGCTATGCACATGCCCTATTTCCCATTGACCCTTAAGAGTTAGATAGGGTTTAGATTCACAAATGATAAGCAATTAATGTATTTTTAATGACAATTACTTAAAGATAATTACATCATAGTATTGACGTTATGCATTTTTTAAACATTATTATTTTATATAAATTTGTATGATTCTCTCCAATTTTATAATTACCTATTTTGAAATTTGTGTTTTGTCCTTTTTAGCTACCAAAACTGTCCAGTAGTTCATCAATTGGTTAGTAAAATAATTTGTTAAAAGAAATTTATTTTAAATTATAATTAATTTTATATTCATACTTAAGTAGCATATAATTCTCAATTAATGGATTATACTTAATGATATCTTGTATACTCTAATTATATGTGCAATTTTACTATAGTTTTGGTAGGTCTGGAGCCACTTCAAAAAATAATATAAATAAGTGATTTAAATTTTAGCTAAGGTGGCAATAAATGAGTGGAAGTTAGAGTGGGACAATTAGGGAAAAGGTGCCACTTGTTGAAATGGGAATGGAGAATAAAAAAATGTATTATTTATATTTTTACAATGTTTGCGTTCCTCTCTAATTAACGTGAGATCTCATAATTATACGTTAAAAAAATAATAAAAATTATATTAAAAAATTTAGGTGTATATTTGGGGGTTTGGAGGAGAGAGAAAGGACATATAGATGAGAGAATGTGTTTGAGATTGAATGAGAAAATCTTAGGAAAGAAAGACAAAAGGTGGTGGGAAAAAAGAAAGAAGACAAAATATATATATATATATTATTTTTAAAATTTTTGAAAAAGAAAAAAGAAAAGAAAAAAGAAAAGAAAGACAGCAAGCATTATAAAGTGGTGTGGTGGGCAGTGAATTGGATTAGAAAGGAGCACGCTTTGTAGGCTAAGCAAGGCACATCCCTTAACCATTGTGGGCCATACCCTCCCTTCTCTTTCTCTCTCTAAAAGTCTCTCTCTCTCTCAAATTCTCTCTCCCCAATTATCTTCTCTCTTTTTTCTTTTGCTTTCATCCTTATCCCCTTTCGATTCCCTTTGTTGGATGATGAAAGTCACACATCGGTTAATTTTGGAAATGGTCATGGGTTTATAATCTAAGAATACACTCTCCATTGGTCTGAGGCCTTTTGGGGAAGCCCAAAGCAAAGCCATGAGAGCTTACGCTCAAAGTGTACAATATCATACCATTGTAGAGAGTCGTGTTCGTCTAACACCCTTTACCTAATTTTTCTTTAATTTTCTTTTCCTTAAATTCATAAAATACTTATATAAATTTAAAATTTAAAATTTAATTAAACTTATAAGGTAACTAAAAAAGATTTCCTTTAGGGTAAAGGGATATTAAAGAGAACACAAACCTCTTTCTAAAAGATTATTTGGATACAAAAAAAAGTAGTGTTGGCATGCAAGTTATATGCCTCAAAAAGTTTTGTTTATTTATTTATTTATTTATTTAATGATTCATGTATTAGGGAACTAATGGGAAGCACACTAAGTGCCTACCTTTTCCTCGGGATTAAGTAAAGAAAGTAACCATTGAAGGTCTTCTTCTTCTTCTTCTTATTATTATTATTATTATTATGTTTTTGTAGGTTTAAGATGTGACCCAAAACCTCACCTTGTCTATTAAATTGTTTTATTATAATTTAAAGAAATAATATTTGATATGTTTACGTGGTAGCTTGTGAATGTTTGATTAATCCACCACACCTAAATAGTGTGAAACTTATCTTATTTATAATCAAATAAATTACAAGGATATGGAAATAGTAATAAATGGAAAGATACCTATGATAATAAGGTAAATATTAGATATTTGTCTTATAATAAAATATCAAATATAATATATATGGTAAACTATAATTTATTACTAAATATCCTTACCATAGCTGAATTAAGGTTCTATATAATTATAAATAATGTTACGTTTATTTTTTTAATTTTTAATTTGTTGTGTTAACGTGTTAACAAAAAAAATAATTTTTATTTTAAAAACAATTTCAAAGTCGAGATTATTTTTATTGAACACATTTCAAAATTTTGAAAAAAAATTTAAAATTTAATATAAAATTTTGCAATGTAAAACATGTCAAATTATGTCCCTTATATGTGTTGTTATGTTGTTAGGTTGTAGTTGTCTCCACCGTTTTTATTATTATAGTAATAAATATAATAGAAAATTTCATGTGACATTGATGAATGAATTTTTTTTTTTTATTGTTGTTATTATTGTTTGAGTTTAAGTCAAAATTAAAAATATACTAATTTTAAGATTATTAACACTAATATGATAAAAAAAATATAATTTAGATAAAAATATTTTAGATTATTCTTTCCAATTATTCATTTTTTTTGTTAAGAGTCGGTCTTATAAAACCTAGATTAAAAATTAAGTATATAAAGTTGATGGACACTTTCGTGATATATATTTAATTTAATTTTAAATTCTATTAATATATTTAAAATTATAGAAAGGATCGAAGAACATCTAACGTATTATTGTCGAATAGTCGTATATTGTCAATTATTTATTAGAGCATTAAAGATAAATGAGAAATAAAATGATGCATATAGAACTGAATTCTTTTCAATAGTTTAGGAACGAGGGGAGAGGGGACCATATAAAACATGCCATGTGATTTATTTTTAGGTCAATCAACCATTTTTATTGACATTGAATGCAAAACTTTATTAGATAATTTGCATGGTTGGATTGACTAGTTGTGAGAACGGAAAAATCGTTTCGAACATCTTATTTTAAATTCGTATTCGATCATCAATTTTTAGTATATTAAAAAGAAATTTTGTTGCTTTTACCTAAGAAATTAGGGAAATTTTTTTAAATACAGGATTGAGAGACGAGGAGTGTGGAAGTATAACAGCTCAAGTCTACCATTAGCAAACTGTGAAATTCCACATTGGTTGGAGAGGAGAACGAAAAATTCCTTATAAACATATGAAAACTTATTCCTAATAGACGTTTTTTAAAACTATGAGGTTGACGAGTATATACAACGAACTAAATCGAACAATATTTGATAGCGGTTGATTTTAAGTATTATAGGAGGTGACACGTGTCAATCACCCCATCCAAGGAAGTGGGAGAGGGGGAATGATTCCTTTCCCATCATCAGAGGGTTGT